ACCACCCCTGGCCCTGCTCCTGCACAGCCACGTGAGGCCAGTGGTGCCAAAGCCCTGCAGCCCCAGGCAAAGCCAACCCACCCCCAAGCAGCCCAGCACAGCCCTGAGCCTCCGGATTAAGGTCATCAAGCACTTGTGGTACAAAGGTGGAGCCACAGCCCGGGGGAGGGACACGGGCACTGGCACAGGGCTCTGCTGGCACACCTCACGTGCCACATCACCTGTCCTACTGCCTTGGAGCCTGTGCTTCCACAGGAGGAAGGAGTCAGGAGAAGGAAAGGCGGTGCCCAGCCTGTATGTGGTCACGAGTATCAGAACATCATAAATTGTTTGGGTTGGAAAAGCCCTTTGAGATCAAGTTCAGCTCCTCCCCCAGCACTGCCAAGGCCACCACTAGCCACACCCTCAAGTGCCACATCCATGTGGTTTCTAAATTCCATCAGGGATGGGGACTCCATCACTACCTGGAGTAGCTGTGCTGAGGCTGGAAAATCCTTTCCTTGAAGAAACTGCTCCCAATATCCAACCTAAATCTCCTCCAGAGCAGCCTGAGGCAGCTTCCTGTTATCCTGTCCCTTTTTCCATGGGAGCAGAGCCTGACCCTCACCTGGCTGCATCCTCCTGTCAGAAGCTATAGAGAATGAGAAGGTCTCCCCTCTCCCAGGGCTCCATTCTCTTCCCCAGCTAAATCCCTTGCCCTGGACACGCTCCCTCAATGTCCCTCTTATCAGGAGGGGCCCAGAACTGTCCCCAAGACTGGAGGTGCCCCAGCAGTGCCCAGCTGGGACAGCCCAGGTGCCACTGGCCTCTTGCCCACCTGGGCTGGTGTTGAGCCACTGCTGACCAACACTCCCCTGGCCTCTCCAGCCCCTCTGCCTCACCCTGGGGTGCTTCATGGGGCTGTTGTGACCCAAGGGAAGGACCTGGCACTTGGCTTTGTTGATCCTCACGCTGATGGTCTCAGCACATCGATCCAGACTGTCCCAATCCCTCTACAGAGCCTTCCTGCTCTCCAGCAGATCCACATCCCACCCCACTTGATATCCTCTGCGAGCTTACTGGAAGTGCACTCAGCCCTCTCAGGTCTCTCACAAGGACATGAGCTGACACCCTTCAAACCAATACACAGGTGCCATAGCAGCCACAGCATGAGAGGCACAGGAGGACCTGAGTGAGCTCAGCATCCCCTCTCTGCTGTGGAGAAACACACCTGGGGCTGTCAGGTTCTGCAGCTGCAAAAACAATGAACCTCTCTGTAATCCTAAAGGCCTCAGTCCTTGACCCTTCACTAACTGATGCTACTGTCACCTGCAAAAAAAGGAGCATCCGAGGGGAAAGAAAAGATCAGGAGTGGTGAAGTCACAGAAGCAGCTGCCCAGGTCCCTTCTCTAAGCTAGCTCTAAACCCAAGTGCCCTGGAAGAGGGGCAGGGGGTACCTTGCTGCCTGCCACCAGCTGCTCCACCTGTGCTCCAGTGAGGAAAGGGCCAACCAGTCCCCTCCCACTGCAGGAAAAGCCTGCCTTTGGCTCAGGAATCACCCAAATGTGCAGATGTGCAGAGGTGTGGTCACCAGAGAAGTGCCCATGGGGCCAGGGCCAGCTCCATTCAGCTATTCTGCTCCAGGCCAACCCCCATGACTGCAGTCCAGGGGCACAGGGGAGAAACTCACACCAGGCCTTGTGGTGTGACCCCACCAAGCAGCCCAGAGCAGGGCCCGGGGCAGGGACGTACCTGATGATGGTGTGCATGCCCCGCACCTGCGGCGTGCTCTCCAGGACGCTCAGAGTCTTTGGCAGGGGCTGTCCTTGGTGGGCGGAGGCCAGGGCTGCCCTGCAGGGAGGAAGGGGCTCAGAGCTGTGCAGCACACGCACACCCACAGCCCTGGGCCCTTGGAGGGACACGGCCCTGCCAAAGGAAGGCTCCAGAAGAACCCCTCTGAAAGGTCAGCACTGTGCTTGGCCTTCCCGCCTGGATCCTGAGGAATGCCCCAAGTCTGGCACCCCAGAGCTGGACTACCCAAAAAGACTGGGGTGAACCTCCCAGACCACACACACTGCTGCTGCAGCCTCTGCAGGGCAGGACATTCCCCTGCACCCTGGGACCGGGCTGTGCACCACAAGGGACAAGGGCTGTCCTGCTCAAAGGGGACATGAACTGCCAGGAACAGCGACCCTGCAGGGCATTTCTCCCACAGAAGTGAGCAGCCCAGGGTAACTCAGGAGCCAGGACAGGAGCAGGGCAGGGAGCTGGCCACATGCATCAGCCACAGTGTGGGACGTGTCACACAGAGCCCAGAGCTGCAGCCACACAAGCCCTAAGGAGCTGACCACAGCCCCTGCAGCACTGGGGAGGAGCAGCTACGCTCAGGCACCTCAGCAAGCTCTGCCAGCAGGGACACGGAGGCAGCAAGACTCGGAATCCAGTGGGGGCCAGCAGCCCCCCAGCCCAGAAGAGGCCCCTCTGCAGCGGCGGGTCCCACGTACCTGACTGTAATCTCGCGCTGGGTGGTGCAGGGGTCACCGGCGCAGCACAGGGGAACAGGAAGGACACCCTGTCAGTCACTCACAGCCACCACCACAGCCCAGTGGCTTCCCACCCTCCTCCCCAGTGCCCACTTCACAGATCTGCTCCCCCAGGCACCATGCTGGGGCCTTTTGAGAAGAGAGGTGATATCAAGACCCCCCCAGGTGCTCCAAGAGCACAGGTCTGTGTGCAGCCACATCCTGCCCTCTGCATGCAAGGCCCTTCTCCTCCCAGCCCTGGCTCACCTTTTCCAGCTGGCTGTGCACGTGCTGCACAATGAGGTCCAGCGCCACAAAGTTTTCCCCACCTGAGGGTGAAGCAGAGGAGGCAGGTGGGGAAAACCCTAACCCCCTGCCCCACAACACCCGCTCCCCACGCCAGGCTCGGCTCTGGCCTCACCCCTGGGCACCACGATGTCGGCAACCTGCACGGTGGGCTCGATGTACTGCTCGAAGGCCGGCTTCACAAACTTGTTGTACTGCTTGATGACGCCCGCGACGTCGCGCCCGCGCTCCATGATGTCGCGCTGCAGCCGCCGCACCAGGCGGATGTCGGAGTCCGTGTCCACAAACACCTTCATGTCCAGCAGCTGGAAAACTGGGAGGGGTGAGCACCCCCTATGCAGCTCTCACCGTACCTGCGTTACTCCCCTGCACCGCCCCGCAGTGGCACCCGGCATGACCTCCCCTGAGGGCTCTGACACCTCCCCAGCAAGCGCAGGGACCTGTCCCTGCACAGCCCCACTGCTGCAGTGACACCCGGCATCACCTCCCCTGAGGGCTCTGACACCTCCCCAGCAAGCGCAGGGACCTGTCCCTGCACAGCCCCACTGCTGCAGTGGCACCCAGGCCAGCGCCTGTCCTGCTGCAGCACATCCCCTCCGGGCCAGCGGCCACCTGAGGCAGCGATACCTTGAGCAGCTCCTTGTTGGCGAAGGCCAGGATCCCCTCAAACACGATGACGTTGGCCCCATACACTGTTTTCTGCAGGCAGACAGGATCTGGGTTTGTCCTGTTTCTCTCACACGCCACAGCAGCACCAACACTGACACGCAGACAGGGCACTGACCCCCCTGGGGTATCACCACTGTGCTGGGGCTCCCCATAACTGTCCTGCAGCACCCAATGCCTTGGAGCCAGTTGATCCCTGTGCATGATGCTCCAGGCCAGGACAGACCCTGAACCTTGCTCTAGATCCCAAGCCTCTGCTCACTGCTATCCTCCCAGCACCTCTCTATCTGCTATCCTCCTCACCTCATATCAGCACTGGCCTGTTTGCACATCCACCCACAGTCTCTCCCGAATGAGTCCCCCACTCCTGATGACCCCAGCTGTCCCCTCCCTTCAGCCCTCCAGGGCCCAGAGGGGTTCACCCCAAGCCTCTGCTCACTGCTATCGTCCCAGCACCTCTCCACACTGAGTCCCTCCCTCATATCTGCAGTGCCCTGTTTGCACATCCACCCACAGTCTCTCCCGAATGAGTCCCCCACTCCTGATGACCCCAGCTGTCCCCTCCCTTCAGCCCTCCAGGCCCTGCAGAGGCATTCCCCCTTCCCGGGACCCTGAGCCAGGCCCAGCCCGACCCCTGGCACCCACCCACTCGCGGCGCCGGCTGTGCGTGGTGAAGTCGTACACCGGCACCTTCACGCTCTTGCCCTTCTTGAGCTTGCGCAGGACACTGACGAGCAGCTCGAAGTCAAAGGCATCGGGGTGGTCGAAGTTGTAGTCGCTGCGGGCTGCCAGCGCCTGCTGCCCCTCATCCAGCACCTGCAGGCACCGGCGGCGCTCAGCACCGCGCCGGACACCGGGACACCCAGCACCGCGCCGGATCCCGGCACCCACGGGCGCCAGCCCTGCTCAGAGCCGCGCCCGCTCCCTGCACCGCGAGCACCGGCAGCGCCCGGCGGCACAGCGGAACCGCGGGCGCGGCACGGCTCAGCGCTGCGCCGCCCGCACCTTGTAGAAGGAGTCCATGGAGAGCAGCACGACCCAGGGCACGTCCAGCGCCTCGATGATCCGCGTCGCCACCGTGGTCTTGCCCGAGGCGCTGCCGCCGCACAGGCCTGCGGGGAGCGGCGGGGCGGCGCCCCGGCCCGGATCCGTCACGGCCCCGGATCCGGCTCCGGTTCCAGCCCGGTCCCGGTCCCGGTCCCGGTCCCAGCCCCTCCCTGGCCGACCCTCGGGCCTCGTCCCACCACTTCCGACCCTGGCCCCGGCCCGGCCTCCATCCCCTCCCCGGCCCGTCTCGGCTCCATCGCCATCCCCGGCCCGGCCCCGTCCCGCCGCTCACCGATGACAAAGGCCTCATCCACGGGCGCGCCGGTCTCGCTGTACCACGGCGGCCGCCCGGCCGTGTAGATAGTCCGTTTGCTGGTGCGCAGCAGCGGCGGCTCCGGCTTGCACTGGCTGGCGGTGCGGCGCCGCGGGGCCGGGGCGGGCGCCAGCGGCAACCGGCTGAGCAGCGAGCCCACGCGGCGGGGCCGGTGCCCGCGGTGCCGCTCGCTCCCGGGATGGAGCCCCGTGAATGGACCGGCACCGAGAGCGCCCGCCTGGTCAGCCCGCGGGGCGGCCGCGCCGACGGCAGCCTCCGCCTCAAGAGGTACCGCCGGCACCGGCACCCATCACCGGCACCCATCACCGGCACCCATCACCCCGGCATCCATTGCCCCGGCACCCATCACCCCGGCACCCATCACCGCGCCACCCATCACCCCGGCACCCATCACCCGGGCACCCATCACCCCGGCACCCATCACTCCGGCACCTCATCACCGGCACCCATCACCCCGGCACCCATCGCCCCGGCATCCCATCACTGGTACCCATTGCCCTGGCACCCATTGCCCCGGCACCCCCACCACCGCCAGCACAACTCCATCACCGGCGCCTCCGGCACCGACGGTGCTCCCATCACCGGCACCCCCATCGCCCCGGCACCTCCGACACGCCGGTCACCGCCGGCACGTCCACCAGCACCGGCACACCATGGTCCCGACAGCCCCATCACCGGCGCTAGCACCTCCACCATCGGCACCCCCATCACCCTGGCACCACCACCCGCGGCACCCCGTCACCCCCGGGGTCCCCGGCAATTCCTCGCACCGTCACCTCCATTACCTCCCGCATCTGCAACCCCCGGTCCTCCCGCACCCGCTCTGCCGGCACCTGCTCGCCCATCATCCCTGGCACCTCCATCGCCCCCATCGCCCTCGGCTCCCCCGGCACCCGCAGCCCCCGGCACGCCGCGCAGCTCCCACCCCCGGCACCGGCACCGGCACCGCCGGCACGTCCGTCCCCGCCCGCGCCCGTGCCTTCATCCATCCGAGCGGACACGGCACCTCCGCAGTCCCCGCGCCAGCCCTGACCGTCCGCCACTTGCACCGTCACCCCGCCACCGGCACCTCCGCTCAAGCGGAACCAGTCCCACCGTGCGCCAGCCTCGCCCCCCCTCGGGTGTCCGTCCCGCACCTATCGGCGCCCAAACGTCTCCCACGCACCCGGTGCCATCCATCCATCACCCGCCCACACCGGTACCGTTCATCCGTGAGCCCCCGTCCCGGTGGGCTGCCCGTCCCCGCTCCCGCACTGCTGTCCCACGCACCGGGACCCGGCCCCCGCCGCCCCTTCCCCACGCCCCGTCTCCGCACCGGTGGCACGTCCCGCAGCCTGCCCCGGGCGCAACACCTCGTTCCCACCCGCAGCTCCCCGCGGGTACCCGCGCCAGTCCCGTCTTGGGTTCCGGCGGGAGCCCCGGGCCACCGCCTCCTGTCGCCGCCGCTCCCGTGGCTGCTCGTCCCGCTGGGGGGTTCGGCCGGTGCCCCACCGACTGCCCGGCTGCATACAGGAGGGCAGCAGCAGGACCCTCGGGGGGTCTGGGCAGGAGCCCCGAGCCGGTGTTACCGGCAGTGACCCCCGCCCCCAGTCTCTTCACAGGCTCTCCAGACCCCTCAGCACTGGCGGCTCCCCCGGCTCCTGATCCCCGCTGCCGCTGCAGCCCCCCGACCCCCAGCCCCGGGCAGGGCAGGCTCCAGGCCCGCCAGCAGCTGAGCGTCGCCTGCGCCGTCTGCTGCCTCTTCATGGTCGGGGAGGTGATAGGTAACAGCGGCGGGGCCGGGGTGGGGGGCTGCCGGCGGGCGGCGGGGTGCCAGCTGCTCTGTGCCCGCAGGAGGCTACCTGGCACACAGCCTGGCCATCATGACGGACGCAGCCCACCTGCTGACGGACGTGGGCAGCATGTCCGTCAGCCTCTTCTCCCTCTGGGTCTCCAACCGCGCTCCCACCAAGAGCATGACCTTTGGCTGGCACCGCTCAGGTGAGCTGAGGGGCTCCGGGGGACCCCCACTGCCGGGGTGGGGCTGATGGGTCTCACCCCACAGAGACACTGGGTGCGCTGGCCTCTGTCCTCTCCATCTGGGTTGTGACCGCGGCCCTGGTCTATCTGGCGGCCGCCCGCATCATCAGCAACGACTACGAGATCGAGGCGCGAGCCATGCTGGCCACGTCCGCCTGCGCCGTCGGCGTCAATCTGGTGTACGTCCCACGTGTGCACCCGTGTTCCCTGCGCCCCATCAGCCGAGTCCTGCCCCCTGTGCCCCTGGAACTCCAACTGTGCCCCCAGGTCACTTCATGTCCCTGTGCACCAGCCTTGAGTCCCCAGGCGCTGCCACCCCCACATTCCCTGTCCCCCATGTGCTCGGGGCTTCCAGTCCATGTGCCTACATCCCCACACCCCACATTCCCTAGTCCCCTAAGCAGTGCCTCCCAAGCCCTGTCATGAGCCCCAGGACCAATTCCTGCCCTGTTCCTGCACCTTCCAGCCCTGCTGCACCTCCAGCCCCACTCCTCCCGCTGTCCCCAGACCCAGGTGTGACTGCCTGTGCCCCCTCTGCCTGAGCAGGGCCAGCAGGGCCCCCACACCCTGTCAGTGTGGCACTGAGCCAGCCCTGCTCTTTCCAGCATGGCCTACATCCTGCACCAGTCCCCTGCAGGCCACGGCCATGGCACGGGGGCCTACGAGCAGCTGGAGAGCTCTGTGGCCTGCCAGCCCAGCTGCAGCCCCCTGCCCGGCAGCACCAGCGTGCGCGCAGCCTTCGTCCACGTGGTGGGTGATCTGCTGCAGAGCGTCAGCGTCCTCGTGGCTGCCACCATCATCTACTTCAAGGTGCCCGGGCTGGATGGCCCCAGTGCTGCCCGTGGGAGCAGCTCTCCCAGTGCCACGCAGGGTGCCACGTGGGCTCTGCCCCCAGCCTCACAGAGACCCTGCTCTCTGCAGCCCCAGTGCAAGATCGCAGACCCCATCAGCACCCTCTTCTTCTCGGTCTTCGTCCTTGGCTCCACCATCACGATCCTCAGAGACGTCTTCAGGGTCCTCATGGAAGGTGAGCAGTGAGTGAGAGGGGTGCGAGACTGCAGGTGCAGGGTGGGCACAGGGGCTACTGGAGCTACATCTGCCTCAGCACTTTGCCCATGAGGCAGCTCGCCTCCCCTGTGCCTCCCCTGCCCCACCTGAATCCCCCCAGTTCCTCCTCTCCACCACAGCCAGGTGCATTGGCCCCAAGGTGAGGCCTGTCTCACCCCAAGGCCACCATGCCCAGCCTGGCTCCCCTGGGGAAGCCCCAGCCCCAGTGGCTTCCCCCGGGAGGCCTCACCCAGGTGGGTGCTGTGTCCGGGCCCAAGGGTGGCCCCGTGTGACCAGGTGGCGCTGGCAGGGGCGCCGCGGGGCCTGGAGTTCGATGCGGTGAAGGAGGTGCTGCTGGGGGCCCGCGGGGTGCGGGGTGTCCACGACCTGCACCTCTGGGCGCTGACGCTGAGCCACGCCGCCGTGTCGGTGCACGTGGCTGTGGGTGAGTGACCCGCACAGGGCAAGGCTGGGTGCCATGGGGGCCACCGGCCGTGCCAGGAACGAGCCCCCTGCCCTGCTGCCCCCAGATGCCGGCGCTGACACTGAGATGGTGCTGCAGGAGGTCACTGCCCGGCTCCAGAGCAGGTTTGGCTTTGCCTCGTGCACGGTACAGGTGGAGCAGCACCAGGAGGAGTCAGCGGGCTGTCCCCACTGCCAGGACCCCCGAACCTGAGACCCCCCCTGCTGCTATGTTGGGCCAGACATGGCCCTGGCCCCAGCTCCTTGTGCTAGAGCCGGGCAGTGCTTGAGATCCCATCCCCTCCTCTACCCACCCCATGGCTGCGGAGCCGTGGGGTGGGATGGTGACTCCAGTGTGGTGTCCTGGGGGAATGGACACATGGCCTGGCCTGGCACGGGGGCTCCCTGGAATCTTCCACTCCCTGCTGTGCCACAGCTCCTGAGGTGGAATCCTGCCCCACCACCCATCCCCAGGGAGCCTGTCCGTCCTGGCAGGAAGGGACATCCCCCATGGGGGACCTCAGACCTGGCCTTGGCCCCGGCCCCCCACGCTGCTGCCTGGGCTCTGTCTGAATCCTCCTGTGCCTGGCCCTGACCCATTCCCTCTGTTGAGTCGTGCCTGTGCCCCTGGTGTCCATCTGTCCATCTGTGCCAGCAGCGGTGCCAGCGCTGCCAATAAATGTGTTGGAGCAGCAGCAGCAGTGCAGCAGACAGAGAGGCATGGGGAGGGAACTGGTGGAGTTGCGGGTGGGCCCCTAGAGCCAGAGCTACCAGCCATGCCCGTCCCGGTGCCAGTACCACCACAGCCATACAAAACCAACCACGTTTATTCTGCACAGCTGAACACGAGCTCAATGTGAGCGACTCCACAGCCCCCAGCCCCTCCCTGCCCTCTGTGGGGATGGAGGCGAGCACAAGCACAGCTCCACGCTGGTGGAGCCCACAGAGCTTCCACAGGGTCACACCCACAGCTCAGCCCCGGACACGCCAGGTCCCACAACCCCTGCCCAGCTCAGAGCAAACAGTGCAGACAGACCTTTCCAGGCCCAGAGCATGAGGACGAGTGTCCAGAGCATCCCAGGGAACGGCTGGGAGCAGCTGTCCCTCCTGCAGCAGACGCCCATCAGGAAAGAGCACCGAGGGCCCACAGCCCCATGCCAGCCCAGCTGGCCCCAGCCCCAAGCCCTGCCCAGGGTGAGCACATGGCAGCGCGAGGGACACACACCCCTACTCGGCTGGCAGCAGGGAGTGCTCAGGAGGGGCAGGGCTGCTGGGCGTGTCCCCATAGAGGACGCTGAAGCGGGCCTGGCACTCTGGGAGCAGCTGGTGGCCCACGCTGGAGGCCAGCCCTGCCAGGCAGTGTGCCCGCACAATGCCCGCCTGCCCGCCCGACACCAGCCACCCCTGCGAGTCCAGGTTGGGGCTGAAGCGCACCTGTGGAAGAGAGGAGCTCCTAAGGGACGGGGCTGGGGCGCTGGGACTCGGCCCCAGAGCAGAGCGGAGCCCCCCAAGCGCTGGGCTGGGGCTCACGCTGGCCCACTGACCTTGTGGAGGGCCTCCAGCTGCAGGCGGTCGAGGCTCAGCTCTGCCTTCAGCTCCTGCACGTGCATCCGGCGCATGGGCTCCCGGCTCGCCAAGTTCTGGAAGCTGCGCTGCAAAGCGTGGCACCACCTTGGGCTGCGGGCCCGAGGCAGCAGCAGTGCTTGCAGCATCACTCAGCCCTGCCCGAGGTAAGGGGCTGCCCCGACGCCCCAGCAGCACCTCCCGGCCCTGCCACAGCCCCAGGAGCCCTGCTCACGGGCCAGACCCTGGCTGCCCCGTCCTCTCCTACCAGGTCGGTGTCCTGGAATCGGATGTAGCTCCTGGCGACCATGTCACTGTAGCGATGGGTCCTGGGCAGGGCCTGCTCGCTGCCCTCGCGCCCGTCAGGGCTGCACGGCAGCAGGTCAGCTTTGTACACGGGCTGTGGGTGAGAGGCGGCTCAGGGCAGGGCGGACACAGACCCTGCTGCTCCTCTGCAGACAGGACCACCAGGCACCGGTGGGATGGGGGCCCAGGACAATTCCTATGGTCTCCCTGCCCCTGCTGGCCCCGTGTGCAGGGCTGGGTCCCCCGGGCACGATGGTCTCTTACAAATCTGCGGTCCGAGGAGCGCTTGATGTTGAGGGGGTTGACAGCCAGGTCAGGCAGCACCGCTGCCACCAGCTCACCGGTGATGTCACCCGCAGCTACTGTGTTCAACCAGTCCGAGCCAGAGATGCTCTGCAGGGACAGAGGGCTGGAGGGCACGGGGTTCCCACCACAAGCCCCAGCCCCAGCCGGGTCTGGCCTGGCCACTGGCACAGAGTGGCCCTACACTGGCCCTTACCCACACGGTGCCCTTGCGAGGGGCCACAAAATAGGCCTTGAAGCCCAGGTACCCAGCGTCGATGTAGTGGATCCCACAGAGCCCGTACCTGTGGAGGAAGGCACAGAATGAGGCCTGGGGTGCCTGACTCTGCTGTCACCAGGAATGCAAGAGCCAGGCACAGCCCACCTCCCCACAGAACTGGCCCAGGGTGAGGGGGCTGTTCTTGCTCCAGCAACATGTTGTAGAGTCCAGAGCAAGCAGAGCCAAGGCAGCTCCCAGAGGCCAAGAACCCACTGAGTTCCCAAACCCCTTTAGCAGCACACCTGCTGCCCAGTCCAGGGGTAGGCCATCCCCTGGTCCACCTGCCTCTGCCTCAGGCTGGCATGGCAGAGGGGATGTCCTGCTTTGCTGCTGCGGTGTGACACAAAACAGCAGAGCCCGTCCTTGCTGTGGCACAGCTGGACAGCCCCAAGGAGAGGGAAGCCAGAGGGGCCCCTGGGAAGCTGGACCAGGTCCTGGCAGCAGGACTGGCCCCCAGCACTCACGGGGCGTAGCAGTTGTCCTGGGCCACAGTGATGCCGTTGTAGGGCAGCAGCCAGGCCACCTCGGTGCTCAGGAACCGCTTGATGCTGTTGATGGGCTCGTAGAGCCGCCGCAGGTCCCAGAACTTGATCTTGCGATCGCTGCCCACCGTGACCAGGAAGTTGCTGAGCAGCAGGAGAAAGGCAGCACTGAGAGCCCTCCCAGGGAGAGGGAAGCTGGACCAGGTCCTGGCAGCAGGACTGGCCCCCAGCACTCACGGGGCGTAGCAGTTGTCCTGGGCCACAGTGATGCCGTTGTAGGGCAGCAGCCAGGCCACCTCGGTGCTCAGGAACCGCTTGATGCTGTTGATGGGCTCGTAGAGCCGCCGCAGGTCCCAGAACTTGATCTTGCGATCGCTGCCCACCGTGACCAGGAAGTTGCTGAGCAGCAGGAGAAAGGCAGCACTGAGAGCCCAGCACGGAGCCGTGCCCTGGCCCACCACAGGGCCCAGGCGGCCCCAGTCTTGCAGTGACCCAACTGCCCTCACCCTGGAAAGCCCAACCCAACCTCCCTGGTGCTGCAGAGCGCCAAGTGCCATTGGCACCACGGCCTCGCAACCCCTTCTTGACAAAAGGAAGAAGTTCCTCTCCTGGCAGCATCTGTGCCTGCTCCTGCCCTTACCTGTCAGCTTTGCACCACTCAATGCTCCGGACTGCCTGGTCATGGGCCAGAAAGCACTGGAAAGGGTAGAGCTTGAGGGAGGCGTCAGGCTGGTGCACGCACTGCAGCAGGGATTTGGTGAGCAGGTTCCACACCGCCACGGTGCCTGTGGAAAGACTCGTGTCCATCAGGCACTGCCAACGGCACAGGTGAGCAGCACAGGCAGGGCTGCAGGAGCTGCAGAGCATGGCAGCCAGGCTGGAGGCAGGGCTGGGGCTGGGGCACAGGTGCTTCAGTGGGGGACCAGCAGCAGCACAGGCAGGCCTGCAGGAGCTGCAGAGCATGGCAGCCAGGCTGGAGGCAGGGCTGGGGCTGAGAGCGGGTCAGGACAGAGGCAGGACACAGCAGCAGCACAGGCAGGGCCATGGGACACGGTGGCCAGGCTGGAGCTGGGGCTCCAAGCAGACAGCATGGTGGCAGGTCCTGGCAGCATAGCACAGAGCTGTGGATCACTGCAAGCCTAGCAGAAAACTCTCTCCAGGCAAGCTCAACAGATGTGGATAAGCCCAGAGCAACAGACAGGGACAACCAGCAACCAGCCTGGCAGTATGTCAGAACAACAATAGCCAGCCCAGAGAAGCCTTCCCCTGACCCAGGGCTGGGCAGAGGTGCCAGCACCAGCTGAGGCTGAGCAGTTGAGGCTCCAGTGCCTCTGCCAGGGTGAGGGCTGCTCCCCAAGTGCTGCCACAAGGCACAGAAAGAGACTCACCGTCATAAAACCCTGCTGCCAGGTGATGGTGGGGCTTGGAAGGCATCCAGGAGAGACTGAAGCACTGTCCACACTCAGATCCATTACCTGCCTGGATGGAGCCCACCTGAAGTGTGGCAATGCACTGCACCTGGGAGCCAAGGGAGAGCCCTGGGTCACAGCTCTGCACCAGTGCCATCCATGCCCCAAGAGCAGGATGCCTGGGGTGGGAGCGCGACACTGCTCTGCCCCTCCAACACTCTGCAGGTGCCAGGGCTCCCCAGGCTCTGCCACCTGCACCGCTGGGGGCTTGCCGGGTGCCAGCCCTGACAGGGATCACCATGGCAGGGAACACTGACCTTGCAGATAAGGTGCTTGTGGAGGGACCCATCTAGAAGAGAGCAGAAGGGGGTCAGGGCAGGCTTTGGCTGTCCTGGGAGCTCCCTGCCTGGAGCCTGGATTGCAGCTCCTCACGGCCCTGGCCAGGGCTCCCAGTCTCTGTCCTGCCATTCCCCTGGAGCAGTGTCCCCAGCACAGCAGGAGCTGAAGCACAGGGAGGAGCAAACTGGTGGCAGCAGGACTCCCAGGAGCCAGGCCTGCCTGTGCACTGGAGAAAGCAGCCCCTGAAACATGCCACAGGCAGAGATGATAGGCTCCTGCCCCACCATGGCCGGCACCAAAGCTGAGGTGACACGGTGACACACAGGGGCCAGACCTGACTCTGAGCACTCCAGGGAAGCAGAGCAGCTGTGCAGGATATCTGCTCCATGGCTGACAGGACTGGAGCAGGCAGGCAGTGCTCCTGGGGAGGGCAGGCTGCAGAGACCCCACACCAAACAGCTCAGGGCAGGATACCCACGGGACCACCACGCACCAGCTCTGTCTAACAGAGAATCTGTCCCCTGAACAAGAGTGCTGTGGGGACCTGTCCCACATCCATCGGGCCTGGGGTCCCTGACGCCCAGTGTGGGGCTGTCCTGCAGCACAGCGAGCACCAGACAGGCACATCACAGCCTGGAGCCTGGCAGCCGTGGGGGGAGACACGGAGGAGCTGTGCATCCTCCTTGGCACAGCTGCGGCAGCCAGGATGCAGAACGGACACCAGCCCCAGCTCTGCCAGGCAGAACACAGGACTGCGGGTTCCCAGCCAGCACAGCCCCCCAGTTTGGGACCCCCAGAGGGCCTGTCGGCACAGCCTGGCAGTGATCCCGTGGCTGGATGGCAGCGCTGCAGCCCAGGCTGAGGCGCAAGCACCGCGCGTGCAGCCGCAGCTCCGGCAGCGGCCGGGGGGGCCCGTCCCGCCGTGCCGGGGGGGCTGCGGCAGCGCAGGCACAGCCAGCACGGGGGGGCACAGGGAGCCGTTCCCTGCTGCCCGCGGGGGAGTGCTGCCTGCCGGCCACGGCTGAGCGCCCGCCG